GTATTTCCCCATCTGGTGGGTGGTAGCAGGAGGTAGTAACTATGAAACTGGCTGCTAAAGGAAGTAGTTGCTAGCAATCTCTAGCTGAAATTTGTTGCAACTTGTGCTCTTTGTCAGTTGGAAGTTGCAATGAAAAGGCACAACTTTTACTTGAAAGACAAATGTCCTGTGATCGGCAATATTTCAGACGAGGTGGAGTCTTCTATGCAAACTGCAGTAATCTGTTGAGATATTTGTTCCCTAGCATTTAGTGGTTGCCATGGCATTACCAGGCAGTATCTAGGCAAGTGTGATCAGGTGATTAAGGTCCAATTATCTGACTTGATCATATGTATTAAATAAAAGTCGAAAACAGAAAAAAAATCTGTGTGTGGACAGATGACGATGCCATCATCTGAGTCGCCCTCCTCATGCTGCGCGTCCTGTATCAGCCTGAAGGACAGATGTCCTCGACCTCAGGGACTCGTCAACCTGCTCATCACTAAAGGTAACGAACACTCATGATGTGAGAATTATCAGCCCAAGGACCAGAAGTGGGTCGAGTATCCAAAAATTGTACATTGTAAAAACATCAACACCAATTCTAATTTCCAGATTCCAGTTTTTCACAACACAAAGCCTGAATATGTGTCTAACTATCAGAGAAAGAGAAAAACTATGAAACTTAACGAGTCTAAAAGATTTCACGTCTGCTTGCAGTCTGTTTGTTTGCTCTGCTGTTCGGAGTCGTCTGGTCCATCACAGGAAAAGAGTGTTTACCTGGAGGGAACCTGTTCGGCATCATCATCCTCTTCATCTGCTCCGTGCTGGGAGGGAAGCTGGTGGGAATGATCCAGCTGCCCACACTGCCCCCCTTTCCTCCACTGCTTGGTACAGCCCAGTAACTTATTGTGTTGTCGTCTCATCCAGATTAATAGAGGTCATGTAAAACTTAATAATTACTTCCTGTGTTAAATGTAGAGTTTACAGTGTAGCCCATGCAAGTTCCCAGCGTTTATACTCAAGCGCTGCTATGTGCTGCAATTGTGCAGCTAGAACACTAGGGGGTGCTGGGATTTCTCTCTTTGAGAACGATCCATTCTCCATCAATCCAACCACTCGCTTTCAGTCAATGTTTTGCATTATAATATGTTCTACTTTCAGGGGTGTACGCAATGTTATGTAGCGGCTTTGGTTTGAAAAACACAAACACAAAAGCTGCCACATATTTTGCTTTTTTTTGTAGTTTTACTAAAGTTCTTTTGTAGTCCATTTGAAAGTTGTGGTTGGTGGTTGTGAAAGAAAAAGTCAAGTTCAACTTGGCTCAGTTTAATCACATGGGCCTCTGCTATTCAGTGATCAATGCTATTTTATTTTCTTATAAGAAGGAGAAGGAGAACAGTCCTCATATGTGACATAAATGGACATTTGAATATTGGAACATCCATGATACACACCAAAATAATGCATAATGGGAAAGTATAAAGGCAGTGTTAATCCACTCTATAATACAGCCTGCATCCCTAACAGTACTTCATACATACAAACTTTTTCCACTATATTACCTGAAAATCTTCACTGCTTATTATTTCTTCATGTCAGTAAAACTTGAATTGTTGTCCCCTTATCCTATGTACAGTATCTATCAGTAAGTATATGTAGATACTTAGACGTACATTGCAATTTCAAATAAAATACAATTAAATTCCATTTAATTTTAGGGGGATCACACCCTCAGTCACAGGCCATATCACAAAGTGCTACCACACATTATGTTAGTTATGGTCCTTACAACTACAGCATGCCTGTACAAACGTGCGTGCATGTGTGTAGGTATGCTGCTGGCGGGTCTGCTATTGCGTAATGTTCCTTACGTAACGGACGCCATCTTCATTGACACTCACTGGTCTGCAGCTCTGAGGAACATCGCCTTGTCCATCATCCTGACCAGGGCTGGTCTGGGCCTCAACCCTGAGGTACACAAACATTCAAACACTGTAGCAGCATACAATTCCTGACATGCTGGTAGTTACACACAGAAAATCAAATGCAGTCTCTTAAATCCTTGTTTGCATGCAGGCTTTAAGTCGACTGAAAGCAGTGTGCGTACGTGTTGCAGTTGGACCCTGTATGGTGGAAGCCTGCACTGCTGCTGTGGTTTCTCACTTCCTGCTGGGTCTGCCATGGGTTTGGGGTTTCATACTGGGGTAATTTGCGCACACACATACACACACAATGGTCTTAGTCAATACTTTAGTTGACATGTTGGAATCTCTTTAAACAGACTTTAAACAGGTGGTTTCTGCATGTTAATTGCAGCTATTTCTCTCTGTATGGCTGATCCAAAGTAAGTAAAGTGACACTCACTGTATCTGTGGTGTGTGTGTTTGTGCAGTTTTGTACTGGCTGCCGTTTCTCCAGCAGTTGTTTTTCCTTCAATGCTGCTTCTGCAGAGAGAAGGATATGGAGTGGAGAAGGTAAATTATCACCCGTTACTATCATCACTGCATTTGACTGATGAAAGGTTCATCCTGCCAGAAGGGGCAGCGTATGGGTGGAAAAAGAGATGAGCCTGAGATGAGTCTATAGAAATGACAAAACATGTGTGTAGGCGTATGCAGAGCAAGTATAACCTAAAAATAACAGCCAGAGGACTCTAGAACTCCTGTAATGGCTCTAGCTCCATCAACACATTCTGAGTGATTGCTAAGCTTCCTAATTGTGTCCTGGCCCCTTTACAAGGACCCACAGTGACCTCTAGGAGACCCACTGTGGTCCTTAATACCTTCTACAAAGTTACAAGCTTAAGCAGAATCAGAATACTTTATTGATCCCTTATTGATTTGATTTGATTTGATTTTTTATAGTCCTCCACAATGTCCACATTGACCCCCTGGATTGAAACAGGGGTCAAGTGTTTCCTGGTCTTCCTGAAGTCCACTATCAATTCCTTGGTCTTTG